TTTTGCAAGAATTTCAAAATCGAGTGTCCAATAACCATATGCAAGCACATGGTTTCGCAACGCGGTTCATTATATTCTTATTTCCCCCCCCCCCCCCAAAAAAAAAAAGCTCGCGCGCGCGCTCTGGCGAAGTCTGAAGGCAACCATCGGTATTTCAACATTTTCTGGAAATTCTACTAAACGGGCTTCGCTCGCGCGCATGTCGAAATCGTTCGAACGCCCTTGCGCGCGTGCCCTCGCGAGACTCCTTTGCCATAGATGGGAGGAAGTGCGCGCGGTCGCGCCGTCGCGCGCGCATGCCGAAATCCGTCAAAAACCGTAGGTGGTGCAACGATTTCAAAGCCGACTGCCCAAACAACGGTCAACAACACCTGGTTTCGCAACGTCAGTTCTCAAACATGCGTGCGCTCGCACTATTTGTCAACGTGTTCACAAAATTCTGCCAAACGGGCTTCTCGCGCCGCATGCCTAAATCATTCGAACGCCCTTGCGCGCGCGCTGGGGGGCACGATCCGCGCCAAATAGTCCCATGCGGGCCACTCTCGCGCGACGGCCGCGCGCGCATGCCGATCTCTCCAACACCTTCATCGCCGACGCGAGGGCGCCGCCATCGTCGCTGGCGCGATCAGCATCGGCGCCCGCGCTGGCCGCGCCTTCGCCGCTGTCAACATTGCTACCAGCGTCGCTACTATCATTATCGCTTTTACCGCTGTCGACGTTGCCATGATGCCGCGCCCGCCCAAGTCGCCGACTCGCAGTGAAGTGCCCGCTGGGAAGTGCCCAGCGGTCAGCGCCACCGCGGCCGCGTCGGTCGCGCCAAACTAGCTGGCCGCTGCGCGCGCTTGGGTTGTCGCGGCCGCAGAGATGTACCAGCCAACGCCAACCGTGCATCGCCACCGCCGCCGCATGGACTATGCAAGCCAAGGCGCGGGTGGGTGGGTGCGACGTTTTCAAGAGCACGGGTGCTAAGTCGCTTGTTAAAACTAATTTTCTTCTTCTAAGAGAATTTGTTGTACCCCATCCACGCCCCAGGGTTAGCCTTTTTTTTTTCCCCCAGGGTATTGCAATCCACATATGTTTATGCATCCTTGTTCGTTTGCAATATGAATTCATATCATCGCAGCTAGTCCCGGTATCGGGCATCCCCCTCATCCCTGTCAAATAATGCCATGCGGCGCACGTGCGTTGATGTAAGATGAGCTGAACGCACGAATCTTCGAAATAATACCACGCGGGCAACATGCGCGCGCGCAAGACGAATTAGTTACAAAACCTTTCTGTTGTCGTTGCGGCCTGAACGTGCCAACATCAAGAAAACCAATGGCTAATATAACAGAAAGTGTTCAACATTTTCTTCCCGCGCGCTCTTGCGGGTTCCTAAGACACCCCATGTTTCTTTCAATTTTCTTGTCCAAGGAGACCCTCGCGCGCGCGTCGACTTGTTTCCCATGCCCTCGCGCGCTTGCCAGAGGCATGATCCCTGTCGCATAATATCATGCGGGGCACCGTAATCGTCATCATTGCCGCCGGAAGCATCGCGATCAGTCCCATCGTCGTTTGTCGACGCCGTCGTCCGCGCTGTCTCCCGCAAGATGGACTTTGCCCGCGCCACGAGCGTCCGCGCGCCAATGGACGCGATGAAATTATCGGAGGAACTCCGCGCTACAACTTTACTCGCGACCTTATGAGCTCTGCCAACGGCCTCATCGTCGTTTGTCGACGCTGTCGTCCGCGCTGTCTCCTGCAAGATGGACTTTGCCCGCGCCGCGAGGGTCCGCGTGCCAGTGAGCTCGATGAAATTGGCGGACGAGCTCCACGGTGCAACTGCAATCGCGACATCTGAGTTTTGCCGACCAAGATGCGGGTATGAAGGTGGGACGTTTGCACGCGCATGGGAGGTGGTCACGCGCGGTGCAGCGTGGTCAACTTGCACCGCATAGATTAAACCAAAAGGGCTGCACCGCATAGATTGCAGCACGTGGACTGGACTATCTGTTTTTTTTTCGCGCTTGTGGCGCACTTTTTGATCAATCGCCACATAGACGCCACCACATATATTGCACAACATCGATTGCACCACCAATATTGCACGACATGACACGGACAATGTCGATTCTCCTTTCTAAAAGACTAATAGATTCTACCCCCCCCCCGCACTTATCGGTTCCCCCGCGCGTGCTGTAAATTACATATGATTCTGACAACATGTCCATCCTAAATTTGAATTCGTACCATCCCAGCCAAGCCGGGTTCCCCCCCCTTGCGGTTCCCTTGTAAAAAACACTATGCAGTGACATTTGTTGCTCCAACATAGCACTTCTTTTTCACGAATCCCTTGCAAAAAATGAGACGAAGTGCGCACGCGCGCGTCGTGGCGCGCGCATGCCGAAATCCTTCAAAAACCTTCGGTTCCGGAGAGATTTCAAAATTGAATTTCCAAAACAAATATAAAAACACATGGTTTCGCAACACTGATTCAAAAAACACTTAAGCGCGAGCTCTTGCGAAATCTTAAGAAAACCATAGGCTTTTCAAGATTTTCACAAAATGCTACCAAACGGGCTTCGCGCGCGCGCATGTCGAAATCTGTCGAACGCTCTTGCGCGTGTGCCGTCGCGAGAATCTTTTGCAAAAAACGGGACGAAGTGAAGACGCGCGCGTCGTCGCGGGCGTATGCCGAAATCCTTCAAAAACCTTCGGTGTCGGAAGCATTTCGAAATCGTGCGTCCAAGAAACCTACAAAAACACAAGGTTTCGCAACACGGGTTTTCAACAAAATTGTGCGCGCGCACTCTTGCGTCGTCGTCGTCGTCGTCGTCGTCGTCGTCCTCCCTCCTCCCTCGTCGTCGTCGTCGTCGTCGCCGTCGTCGTCTTCTGTCTTTCCTCGTCGTCTTTGGCGTCGTCGTCGTTTCCGTCGTCGTTGTCGCCGTGGTCGTCCTTCCTCCCTCGTTGTCTTCGTCGGCGTCTCGTCGTTGTCCCTCCTATTTCGTCGTCGTCGTCGTCGTCGTCGTCGTGGTCTTCACTCCTCCCTCGTCGTTATCCTCCTCCCTCGTCGTCGTCGTCCGTCGTCGGCGTCTCGTCGTCGTCCCTCCTATTTCGTCGCCGTCGTCGTCGTCTTCGTCGTCGTTGTCATCGTCGTCGTCTTCCCTCCTCCCTCGTCGTTGTCGTCGTCGGCGTCGCCGTCCTTCCTCCTTCTTCGTCGTTGGCGTCGTCGCCGTCTTCCCTCCTCCATCGTCGTTGTCGTCGTTGTCGCCGTCGTCGTTTTTTCTCCTCCCTCGTCGTCGTCTCCGTTGGCGACGTCGTCGTCGTCTTCGTCGTCGTCGTCGGCGTCGTTGTCGTCGTCGTCGGTGTCGTCGTCGTCGTTGTCGTCGTCGAAAACATTGGAGACGTCGTCGGTGTCGTCGCAGTCGCTGTCGGCGGCGCCGTCGTCGTCGATGTCGCTGTCGTCGTCGGCATCGGTGTCGTGGCCAAGTGCCACGCAGTACCTACCGTCACGGTCTTGTCTGAAGATGTCTTGCGACCAAGTTGCGGGTGGGAGGGTGGGATGTTTGCACGAGCAGTGGAGAGGACAGCTTCAAGACAGTCGAAGTGGATTCCACCACATATATTGAACCACGTATACTGCACAGCACATATTGCACCACGTAGGTTACACAGCTGGCATGGCACAACCTATCTTTCTTTCTATATATATATATATAGACCCCCAACCAGGAAATCGTTTCGTTCCGTTCGTGTCGCGCGTGCGGGCGAGGCGAAGATGCGTTGGCGCGCGAGACGAATGAACCCGTCGGTGTTAGGGCGAAGTCAAGACAAATGGTTATTCCCCGCCCGCCCGTGCGGCGGTGGCCCACGGTGTCCACCAGTGTCCCGTGTTGTTCCGTGCTGTCCCGCCGTTTTATAAGGCGAAGTCAAGACAAATGATTATTCCCTGCCCGCTCGTCTGGCGGTGGCCCGCGGTGTCCCGCGGTGTCCCGTGGTGTCGCGTGGTGTCCCGTGGTGTCCCGCCGTTGCTAGGGCGAAGTCAAGACAGTGGCCCGCGGTGTCCAGCGGTGTCCCGTGCTGTCCCGTGGTGTCCCGCCGCTGCTAGGGCGAAGTCAAGACAAATGATTCTCCCCCGCCCGCCCGTCCGGCGGTGGTTCGCGGTGTCCCGCGGTGTCCCGTGGTGTCCCGTGGTGTCCCGCCGTTGTTAGGGCGAAGTCAAGACAAATGATTCCCCCCCGCCCGCACGTCCGTCCGTCCGTCCGGCGGTTCCCGCGGTGTCCCATGTTGTCCGATGGGGTCCCGTGGGGTCCCGTTGATTGAGATCGATAGTGAAATCGACAGGTGTCCCATGGTGTCCCGTAGAGTCCCGTTGAGTGAGATGGACAGTGAGATCGACAGGGGTCCCGTCGTGTCCAGAGGTGTCCAGTGGTGTCCCGTCGAGAGTGAAATCGATAGTGATATCGATCGTGCGATCGATAGCGAGTTCGATAGTGAGATCGACAGGTGTCCCGTGGTGTCCCGTTGAGAGTGAGATCGGTAGTGATATCAATAATGAGATCGATAGTGAGATCGACAGTGAGATCGACAGGTGTCCTGTGGTGTCCTGTTGAGTGAGATTGATCGTGAGATCGATCGTGATATCGATCGTGAGATCGATAGTGAGATCGATAGTGAGATCGACAGTGCGATCGATAGTGCGATCGATAGTGAGATCGATAGTGAGATTGAGTGAGTCAGACGTTTGTTCCACCCCACACAATCTCCTTGTCACCCGAAAGGTGGTCGTATGGATATATTTCTCTATTATCGGTATCGTTATAGCTTTACCTCTTTCGATTTTTCTCGCGAGAGAGAGAGAGAGAGATTGCAAGGCCGAGCTTGTCATGAAGACAAGCGCACAGCAGGGTCGTGTGAGCCATCGGGGCCACGATGGCGATACAAAGTGGAAGGAGCCCAAGCGGAGAGAGGCGAGACGGTCACTTTGTGGCAGGCCTTTTTCTTTTGGGCGGGCACAGGACTCCGACCACGCCCTCCACAAGAAGATCCAGGAGGTGACCTCGAACGAAAATCCGTTCCTGCTCCTCCTGGACACAGACGGCATGGGGGGCGAGAAGGCCTGCGGCTTACGTGTCCTGCCCTGGCTGTGCGCACGCTTTGCGTCACACTTGCAGCAGTCGCCATGATCTGCTTCGGGTCACAGTCACAGTCGCCACTGCAGTCGTCATTGCCGTGGCGCAGATGCCGGCGCAGCCAATGCTCTCGCGTGTCCTTGGGGTACACTGGGCCATGCACGCGAGATGTTGCGAGGGTGTTGGGAAACGACTGCGCGAAAGAGACGTCAGATCCCGCTGCATGATTTACCACGTGAGGACGGCTGGCCTAGGATGGCTTGTCACCTTCAGGCCACCAGGCCAACGGAGAGTAAGTGAGGCTTGTTTTTCAATATCGCAGCTGGAATACTCCAAAGGGCTGGAGGGAGCCGGACTCATGTTTGATTGATTGGTCCCGCCGATAGTTGCAGAATTGTGCTGCCATTGCGCGAAGATTATGTCAATCACCTGGGCTATAGCGCAACGTCCGACAACATGTGATCAGAGTTCGACCTCGGCTGGAACGCATGCCGTACGGCCGCCGTTGGCGTGCGCATGATCGGAAACTGGAACGTATACATTACCAGTGGCAGGCTGTTTATCAATCCCAGGATTTTACTTTTTTTTCCCCCAGTTTTCCCGTGGAAACAACAACAAATGTATACACCAGGATGCCGTATACACCAGAATCCGTTTTCTTGTGCGGATCTCAGTGCGGGACCGGAAAAGAAGCATCGGTGTGCAAAGTTCGGTTCCTCACATGAGCGCGCGCACGGCAGGAGAGAGGAGCCACGACAGCAGCGGTGACACTCAGAGCGTGAATTACCTACCCCGCTTTCGCTTCCAGGCAAAACCGAGTCATACCACGCGCCTCCTCGTCAAGCGGCCTGACCAGTACAGGCCGTGGTTTGGCATCGCTTGGTGACTCTTGGAAGCGAGGGTGGTCAAAAGCGAGGTAGGTTTGTTTTGCCCCGAGACACGCAGCGCGCAAACCGTCGCGCCGCTCGGCGGGATGCCCGAGCGGGCGGGTACTGAAAAAGGGGTCGGAGCGGAGGGCCCCGCCCTGCCCACTGGTCGGAGGTCGGGGGTTAGCCTTGTGGAAGTCGGTTCATGGAGAGGAAGCGTGCTGCCAAGTAATTTCCAGGTGTCGCCTCCTCCTCCTCCTCCTTCTTCTCCTCCTGCTCCTCCCTCCTCCCCTCCTCCTCCTCCTCCTCGTCCTCCTCCTCGTCCTCCTCCTCCTCCTTCTCCTCCTCCTCGTCCTCCTATTCCTCCTCCTCGTCCTCCCCAGGCGGGTTTTTCAGAGTCTGGTGGCGGCGGCGACGGCGGCGGCGACGACGACCTCGCCAGCGGAGTTGCGATCGCTTCGTGGACGACGATCAATGGAGAGGAAGCATGCTGCCAAATCATTTCCAGATGTCTAAAACATGATTCAAACATGTTTTAGACATGTAAAAACATGTTCGAAACGTTATTAGAACATGGTTTACACATATTACACATACCTTTAGTTCAATGATAGGATTGTTAGAGTGTCCATTGTCATGGCATCCACAAGGGTAGCCAGTGGCCAGCGCCCGGCGCTTGTCCCTCCCCTGGCGAGGCGCGGTTCACCAACAGCTGCAACCCTCCGGAAGAAAAGTTTGACTGATTGAGTCAACAGCCTCCCCTGCCCCCATCCAAAGTTGGTCCGTGACGGGGTCGTCGTCCGCATCGGGGGGGGGGGTCGATGCAGCGTTGGACGGAGGGCGGAGGCACCGTTACGAGAACATGACCCCATGACCAGGCAGTCCCATGAAGACTCCGATGCGACCCCGAAGCGTTCCCTGAAACCCATGGCCACGAAGCGGATGCAGGGGGATGGGCAGAGGCCCTCGAAATCGGCGCACAGATTCTGCCCTCTGGAGCTCAGCTGAGCCAGACCTTGGAGGGCCTGCGCGCACCAGAACAGTCCGTGGGGCCTCCCAGCACAGTGGCGGCCTCCTGCAGAGAAGCGTCAGCATCCCATGTGCGCTGGTGGCAGAGCGAAAAGCGTGCACACCAATGCCACGAAGACCACGTCATGTGATGCCGAATCACATCGTGCGTAACGTGTCCCACCCCCTCCTCCCGAGGCCCAGAGTTGAAGCGTCCACATGTTGTCCTTCGCGCGCTGCCTCGCGTGCACTGCTGTCGACTTTGGGTTTGGAGGGAGGGGGCTATCGATTTGTTTGGTGCGCTTCGCCGTAGCGTTGTCTTGGCGCGATGGGGGTGGACACTTCTCGTCCACCCACCGGCTCTCCGCCCCCAGACAGGAGGCAGACAGGCGCAGCAGAATCTGCACATGTGGGAGGTGGAGAGGTTTTCCGAAGGGCTTAGGCGACCCGTCCTCCTCCTCCTCCTCCTCCTCCTCCTCCTCCTCCTCCTCCTCCTCCTCCCTCCTCCTCCTCCTCCTCCTCCCCTCCTCCTCCTCCTCCTCCTCCCTCCTCCTCCTCCTCCTCCTCCTCCTCCTCCTCCTCCCCCTCCCCCTCCTTCTCCTCCCCTCCCCCTCCTCCTCCTCCTCCTCCTCCCCTCCTCCTCCTCCTCATCATCATCATCCTCCTCCTCCTCCTCTTCCTTCTCCTCCTCCTCCTCCTCCTCCTCCTCTTCCTCCTCCCCCTCCTCGTCCTCATCCTCCTCTTCCTCCTCCTCGGGTCGCCTACGGCCCCGGAGGAATCCGTGCTGTAAAGAGGTCGACGCTTGAGAGCAGCAGGATTGGCCTCGGCAGCGTCCCAACAGTACGGAGCTCCATTCTAGAGTCCCTGGGCGGCAGGAAGTTGCCAGGCCCTCTCGAGTCAGCGCATCATGCCCGACGCGTTAGTGGAGAAGCACCCCTGATCGGGAAGCAGGGTTCCGAACACCCCGAGTAGCAAATCCCCGCCAAAACCATTCGAAGTTGGACGCCCTAGCAGCAGGACGTTGCCGAACTCCTTCCCCCTAATCTGAAGGACGGTCCCGCAGAGCCTCCGAACCGGCAGCACGGACAAACCAAACACCTGAACGGCAGGATCTTCCACACGTTAACCATTGCACGCTCAGGCAGGTCTCTGCAGCAGCCCAATCGCGCCCAGGAAGCAGTTTGCCAAACAGAACGCCCAACACGCGCATGTCAAGCAAAAATATTTGCTTGGGTTGAGTTTGGTCAGGAATCCGATGCAAGGAGGCTGTCAACGCCCAACCTCCATTCCGGCGCACTGGGAGGCTCTGGCAGTAAGCTAGGTCACCGTGGGGGCGCGACGGTAATCGCTCTTCGCGCGTCGCGGCCTGTGCTGGAGACTTGCACATTGTTCGTTTCTACTTCTTCGAAAGTTCTTCGTTTTTTTTGCGGGGCCAGGATCCTTTCATTTCTAAGTGCTCTATCCTGGGCCTCTTCCTGGCCAGTGGGGGGCCAGCCGGCCGAGCCTGTCGTGCCTGCCCCTCCTGCTGCTCCTCCGCCTCCTCCGGAGGGGGCCAAGCTCGGGGCCAGCCCGTGCTAGTGGAAGTGTGGCCAACAGGACCCCTCCTCCTCCTCCTCCTCCTCCTCCTCCTCCTCCTCCTCCTCCTCCTCCTCCTCCTCCTCCTCCTCCCCCTCCTCCTCCTCCCTCTGGCCAACAGGACCCCAGACCCAGCGCAGGGGCACCAGCTGTACCGCGCGGGGCCGTGTACCTTTTGTGGCCGATGCGGGGCGCGGTGCTCAGGGCGAGTTGTTCGATCCTTGGGTGACCGCTGCCGAGGTCAGGCGGCCTCGAGGCAGGTCACCTGCGCGAGGGCTAAGTTGCTCGGTGGTTGGCACCCCACGCGGGTGGGTGTGCGAGTAGCCGAAGCAGCAGTGCGGCTCTCAGACTGTGAGGTCCGCGCCTTTTTCGGGGTGGCTTAGTGGCTGCCTGCCGTCACAGCTCGCGTGCAGCCGTTGCGCCGCGAAGCATTGCAACGGCAAAAAAAATGAGCACGATTAGGAATGAATGGCGCGTACCCTTCTCCAGGGGGGGGGCGCGAGGGCGCGGAGATACTCGCGCGTCATGCGGCGCGACTCACGAATCCAGTCAACACAGACTCTGCCAAAGTTCTTCTCAAGTTTGCAGGCTGGCCCTGCGGAACATGTGGTTTGACAGTGCGCCTCGTGCGACCGTGCATGCGCGGCTGCATCCCCTCAAGCATTGGCCCACGCGCACGCAGGCACGCGATGCACTCGGTTGTGCCCATCCAACCAAAAACGATTCCAGCGGAGCCCCCCCGTCGTGACAGGAACTTGCCGTGCTCCGGGAGCGTCCAGGGGACGTTCCGTGGCCAGGCCCCCGGAGGGCTCTGGAGGCGCACGGAGGACCTGAAGTCACAAAAACAAGAAAGAAAGCAGCACAACCCGAGCCTAAATTCTCGATCGACGACGACGACGACGATTCAGGCCCCCTGCACGGGGACTCTCTGATGAATCAAGACACTGACGTGCCCGAGAAAATTGCAGCCGTGGGTCGAAGCGCTCTCCATTCAGAGTCCGGTGGCGCCTCCTCCCCCTCCTCCTCCTTCTCCTCCTCCTCCTCCTCCTCATCATCATCCTCCCCCTCCTACTCCTCTTCCTCCTCCTCATCCTCCTCGTCCTCCCCAGGCGGGTTTTTCAGAGTCTTGTGGCGGCGGCGACGGCGGCGGCGACGACGACCTCGCCAGCGGAGTTGCGATCGCTTTGTGGACGACGATCAATGGAGAGGAAGCGTGCTGCCAAATAACTTCCAGATGTCTAAAACATGTTTAAAACATGGTTTAGACATGTTTAAACGAATAATAGTATCACAAGCATGCTGTAAGCATGCTTAGAACATGTTACGACATGTTAAACACATGTTTCATTACATGATGGGATTGATAGGGCGTCCATTGTCATGGCATCCACAGCGGTCGCTCCCCTCTCCCGACTCGGTGCGCGCCTGCCCCCGTGCAGGCCGCCCAGGGGTTGGAGGAGTTGCCAGTGAAAGTCTACGACGTCGCGTCGCACATC